TTATTGTGACCACGCCATTGGGCTCAACTCGGAATCAGTGGTGGATCTTTCTGTCGTTGTGTCAGATTTTTGTTTTACAGGAGCGCAAAGCGAGCCCCGTCCAGTCAGCAATACCGTGCAACATTTTGAAAGAAGAGCTGCAACTATCATGCTTATTTGCCTTATGAATGCATTCTAATTTTCTGATAAAGTAGTGGAACTGAGCATTTCAGAAACTAATTGGGGATTGTCATAGTATGCTGCGGCGAGTTGTGTTTCCCCGGATCGTTTGCCGATTTGGTCGACATAAGAAACACTCCCACCGTTTGAAGGTAGAGCGTTGGACTTAACGCCCAACGAACAAAAATTCCGTGTTTGAATACGAAGCTATATAATCCGGGGATATGGCTGGCTGAAGATGGTCACGAAGCTAAAATTGAGCATCCCGGGTTCCGATTTTTTTGAATGCATATTCTGGATGATCACTAGTTGCGAGACCACTGCCTGCGAGGACTTTGGATTTAAACTAAACGAGCAACGTAATGAGCATGTTCTACAATTTGATCGTTGAGCGACCTTTATCCCTGTTACGATTTCCAATCACAACTGATAAAACAGTCGATCCGTAGCCCACGGGTAGGGCGTTCACTCAAAGACTTCGAGTTGAAATTCTAGACTATTCAAACCCTGATGTCGTATGACCGGTAGACAGTTCAGTTCAGTCTTATTAAGGAAAAGGTAAAAAAAGCCTTTAAACTCCCTGACGGTTACAACGATGTTCGTTAAAACACCAATACATAAAGAAAGTTGGAAAGAAGAGTGGCTAAATAATTACATGGAAAATGTATGGAACTTGTATGTGACAATTTATACAAGGCGTGCCAAAATTTTGAACCAAAAAAGCTTGTTCTGAAATGCGCCAAGTAGTATGAAAACGAAAACTTCAATATCAATTAGAATTCATTGGATCACAGCTTGTCACACGATGGGCATATTTAACGAGTCAATTATAAAATAGTGTTACTGAAACACAGTGAGCAGTGAGGTCTTAATCCCGCAGCATGCCTGTAGTCCAGAGGAAAGAGGTCATGATTAAACAGTCGAGTTCCGTACGGTAGATTATTATGACTTCTAACCAGCTTGGTTGCCCTAAGTTGGACTTTTTCGAGGGTGGTGCGGTCTTTTACCGGCTAGGGTTTTCAGGCCTGAATGGCAAATTCTAACTGTAGCCGCACGAACATCCCGAAGACCTTACCAAATCACCTGGCATCGAACTTCGCAAATGTATGTCTTATGAAATATAAACTTAACATAGGGGATTTAGCTACTTTCAAGCAGTAGAATGAGGGTTCCTGTGAGGTCATGATCCACAAACCTAGGTCCTTCTGGACGCTGACCTCTGGTAGTGGTGTCTGATTTAGATAATACATCCTCCGATGTGCAGAGCTGGCTCTGCCGATTTGCAGGATGTTGCATGTGGTAACATTAAATGGGAGAAGCCAGTGGCCTGACAACTGTTCGAGTCGGTTAAAGTTTGCCTGCAGATTTGTTTCGCCGTCCTCGCTGCGGATGACGCTGCAAAGCATCATATCGTCAGCAGACATGGCAATGTCGTAGTCTAGCCCACAGATTCAGTCGTCAATATGCAGTAGGTGGGCTTACTCATGAAATGTCAGTCGAAATTCCGAAATACGTTTTTGTTTCAAAAAGATTAATTAAGTAGGGTTGTAAAACCAACCAATGTGCAGGACAATGCTATAATAATTCAGTTAACTCTGACTGCGGACTTTAGAACGAACTTCTTTTCGGCTGGATACCACAACTATACTTTGTAAAAAATGACCACTTATGTAGCATGCATTTTTCTCATTGATCTTCGATGTCCTTAAAAGTTAAATTATGTTTCATGGAAAACATGCATACAAATATTCATTCTTTTACTCATTTGACAGTAAATTACTTCCTCTTTCGATTTTATACTCAAAAGGAGGGTATAATTTGGTTGTCAGAAACTTTTCCAGTTCTGAACCCGACCTGCCGTTACACTTGCATTCGAGATTTCCAAACCACAAGCCATGTGTTTTTTGCGTCTGGTAATAAGAGGCGACCATATGGGGTTCATAAAATTTAGCATTGGATTTGATCCATATTGTTAACTTTACAAGCCGCATTGGTAAATGCAGAGACATGGCGTTTTATAAACATCCATTTAACGGTATTAAAATATCTCACAATTAGAAACGTTTTTAAAACCGCATTATACCCTTTCTTCGAGTGTACATTTAGGAGAAGACGTCATATACTACCGAATGTGAAAAAGAATGAATATTTTAATGCATGTTTTCCATGAAACAATTTAATGTTTAAGGACATCGAAAATCAATGAGAAAAATGCACGCTACACAAGGAGTCATTTTTTACAGAGTATAGTTGTGGTATCCAGCCGGAAAGAAGTTCGTTCTAAAGTCCGCATCCTGAGGTAACTGAATTATTATAGCTCCGCTCTTAGCCGTCACCGCCGCCGATTGCTGGTCACCAAGACGGCAATTTGAGATCGACCAATCAAGACGATTTCGATCCATTTCCAAAGCGTGCCTCTTACCTATATGCGACTGAATTTGTCTAGGAGACGTTGGTGTGGCGCACTATCAAAGGTCTTCTTAAAGTCTATGTAGGCTACGTGTACCACATTTCCTCCATCAATTACTCGGATCCAGCTTTCTAGACAGTAGAGCAAATTGGTCGAGCAGGACTTTCGTTCACGTATTCACGCTACGCGTCATAGAGAAGACGATGTTACTCTAAAAACTGCGTCAACTCACCTTTGTTAATCCGCTCCATAATTTCGCAATATATGGAGGTGAGGCTTACCGGCCAGAAGTTGTTTACGGAGGTGCGACTTTCACTCTTATATATCGGTGAAAGACACGCAGTCTTCCATTCAGGAGGCAGTCTGTCTGCATCGAGAGGGGCTTGGAAGAGAAAACATAGAGGTTCTGCGAATTATGTGGCTAATTTCTTCAACAACTTTGCTAACATTTCACCAGGACCTAGCAATGTCGCCTTTTCCACTTAAATAGTTCTTGTAGAACAAAAGTTTGTGTAAGAACCACTGAGTCAATTTTCAGGACCTCATCCATACTCTGTGTGTCAGCGGTTAAATCAAAAACCAACTGAAAGACCTTAGATGAACGCTCAGACATTTCGTCGTCCTTGGAAAGTTCGACGTCGTTACCCGTTTTTTACAAAGACAGGCGGTCTCTATTGCGCGTTCATTGTCTTACGCGGTTGGAGAAAAGCAGGTTACTCTCGAAACCTTGGCGGGTTTCATAAACGAGAATTCTTGACCTGCTTCTCTAAGCCTTGTACTTATTCATTGACTCGATAGTCTTCTCCCTGAGATAACTTTTCCACAGATTTTGCCTGCGGTTTGCTTCTCTCTTTAGTGTTGACTTTGGCCACCGGGGTCTGCAGGTGATCCTCTTTCCCGATCTAGGGCATCATCTGGCGATGAGTCAATGTAACAAGCACTTTAGTTCCAGCCGGTTCTCGAGAACACATCCCGTGAATGTTGCGTCACAGTCTACGCGGCGCTCGTAAGAACCTCCACACCATATGCCGAATTTTACTCAGATACTTCGAGCAGTTTCAGAGAATAGAGAATACTGCCAGTGTAGGGCAACGCGGTCACCTTTGCCGAGAGAAGGTAGACAGTTTACGACATCGAAGCCGTCAGGTGCTCTTGTCAGTACAAGGACGACGGCTATCAAACCAGAAGTGACCATCCTTGTCCTCGTTTTTTGTTGAGATGAATTATAACCAAAAAGCCTCTGCCAGAAAGGAACGAAGGTTTTCAACCAACCTGTCGAGGCGGTGTTTGACCAGAACATTAAGTCTGCCACAAGACCTAAAAGTCGATGGTAAATTAGTCAAAGTTGGAAGAAGGAATTGCAATGTCTTTTAACCCCCGCGGCAAATTCGCAGTTTATGCGATCCGACTCGATCAATTATTGAACAGCGCCGATTAGTCGAAAATACTCATTAGAAGCATAAGGTGCGGGTTTGCTATCGACACAGCGGTCTCCTCGTTCTGTTGTATAAGTCGCGACCAGTTAAATTTGGACTCAAGACTTCAAATCGATATTCTTCTCGCCCCGGTCTTCCTGAATCCTTCTGTGTTTACTGAAAAATTGTCGTATCCGAAATATTCATCCTTATATTTAAATGTATCTAATAAAATACCATCCGGAGCTCGATGAGAAATGTCACTTAAGACCAATAAGCAAAACAATGACATGCTTCCCCCGAAGAACAACAAAAGAGTTTATGTTAATAGGATACAAAGTTTCGTTTCCTAATCCAGCGGTAAGTATCAGTTAGGAAACCATCTACTTCTGAAATGTTCAATATTCGTGGAAAACTCCTCGATTTTTCACAATCACTTGACAAACAATCTGTCCGACTGTTTTGTGTATTCTGTTTGTTGGGCTTCACCAATTTCAAAACTTACGCAGTAGACGGCCGCAGAAGTGTGGGTCGTTTCGATGCACGGGAGACCTAAGTGTTCTCTATGCAAAGGTTATTTTGAGCGCAATGGTATTGCCATGAGGTTAAATTGGTAAGGCGTGTAACACAAGGACCGTGAAACGGAGGTTTGCGGTTAAACGACCCAGGAACTCAGGGAGGCAAACCGCGAATACATAACGTCCCCATTTAGAAATAGGGTTTATTCAAGATTACTTTAACAAATGGTTAGCATCCCCATGGAGCGGGGACAGCATTCATACTAAGCAAACTACTTTCCGGTAACACAAATAAAGGATTTATGTGGTGGGCGAACAGAAGTGAACATCAGTCATCTTGTGTGGATAAGAGGACCGTACCGATTAAATTAGGTTTTTGTTGCACTGGTTCACGGAACCGTCTCTTCAGCAGCCAAGTGCTCAGAAAAAGTGCACACTACCAGTGAGTCTTATTGAGTTTAGTAAATCGTGACCCTCTTGAATTCTGTTCTTTCTTAGATGAGGCTGGAACCAGTCGGAGATTCCAGACGAAGCCTAGCGGACCTCTGCCGAGATGCAGTCAAAAATGCCAACTCGCGGTCCTGCTACAGGAGGCTGGTTGTCGTCGTGGTGGCAGTTGCCATCTTCTTGGACAACATGCTGCTCACTACAATAGGTAAGAAGCATTCACTTCTACTGATGCCTGCTGGCACGGGTGCAGTTCCAAAGAGCTCGACTAACTGTCAGAGAACTTGAGACCCTCTTCCTGCCTTTTCTAGTTGTTTGGTCGTGTCTGCCTGGGCAGCTAAGACGATCAGTTTCAGGCGCACTTGTCATCGTCGACCGGTCCCTCCTGCCCGCATGCAGGCGCACGCCGCATCCATTGGCGTCCGTGCTACCCCATATTTTTGAGTTATGGAATACCGGTCAGTGTCCGTTGTGGACCAGAGGCCGTGATGCTGCTCCGTGCCAGCCACTTGCGGCCTCTCCCGCCTCCGGTATTATTGACTATGTCGTGGCACCGGGCCCATTTAAGAAGGAGAGAGCGAAGTACTCAGTAAAAACTAACTCATTAGGAATCTGGCGTCCCTTGTATCACGTTACTGTGGATCACACGGTGTACATCGTCGGCAACGACGGTCAAACTGTCGTGCTAAAGATGCAACGGACAGAAAGGGAGGAGGGTCAAACTGGTTCACGGCGCCGTTTGGCGGGCTGCGTCCCATCAGCGCAAACACAGTCGTAAATGGATGTACGTGTAAAGATGTAGGTTTTCACGTGACGTGAGCTCCTGCGCCTCATCCCAACGCTGGCTCGTGGACAAGATGGGGCAGATTCATAAGAATGGAGGGAGAGAAAGACGCCTAGACATCAGCATATTCCTCACTATAACAAACCTGACGTGCAGAAGATGAAGGTGTGATCACTATAACCAGAAATTCTTTGGCCAGACGTTTCGGAATCTCACTCGAATCCAGCATCATAGACAGTCGCAGATAAGGGTAATGGTGGCACATAGAGTGCAGTATTTATAGCACGTGGTTGCCGTGGCACCATATGCGCACTGTAATTAACAGCTCTCGCAATCACCGCTGGGGTCGTAATTGATGCGATTGTGACTTGTCAGTCCGCGTCAGAGTCGTTAATCACCGCGATTTCGCCATCCACGTTGGATGTTGGCGTGACGATTGCTCGGTAAATTGGCTCACTGACACCGGGATAATTGCTCGCCCGCGCCATCCTCACGTGACAGATTCACCTGCCCAGGGCAAACCTAGGCACGGAATATGGTACCGGACCCGGCCATATTTTAAAGTTTCAAGAGGGGTAAAACAGCGTGAGCCGCGAGCTGCTCCAGTCATGGTTCTCAGGCCCGCAATCCATCAACAAGTGCAATGACCTCCTGGTACCATATTCCGTGCTGAGATTTTCCCTGGGCCGGGGAATTAGTCACGTGGTGAGGGCCCGGGCGAGCAAATATCCCAATGACAGTGAGCCAATTTGCCGAGCAATCGTCACATCCGCATCCGGCGCGGATGACGAAATCACGGCCATTAACGACTCAGACGCAGACTGACAAGTCATCATCGCATCAATTGCGACCCCAGTGGTGATTGCGAGAGCTGTTACTTACAGTACGCATGTGGTCCCACGGCAGGCACGTGCTATAAATACTGCACTCCTTGTGCCGCCATTACCCTTATCTGCGACTGTTTCTGATGATGAATTCGAGTGATAATCCGAAACGTCAGACTAATAAATTACTTGTTCCAATGATCACATCTTCGTCTTCTGGACTGCCGAACTGTCGTGTGACGTCCGGTGAGAGCTCCAGGTCAAAAGCTGGGCTTGTATTCTGTTGTGCATCCAGTACGAACCACTAACTTTGCATATAATGACTAACTGCACTGAAACTAACTGCACCTTAGAGAGAGAGTTTACAAAGACATAGGATGACAACAGGTTGTCATAAAGACATACTGCGCCAAAAATATATTTATTTGGCTGGCTTTCCTCAAGAGTTTCGCTCACGCAAGTGCAAATGCTGTAGCGACGAGTATTTTGCTACTTCTGACGTACGCAGGACATGCAGGTGAACGCTTGGCTCGTAGAAATTCCTCATGCAACATAGCAAAGCACATGTGTTTCACTAGTCGCAATTAGCACGCGAAATCTTCCTAAGTTGAAAGGATCATGGGCAGATTTGAAGGGCACTAACATGCACAACGGGTCGAAATTGTTTCATGCGGCTGCGCAGAATCTGTAAAAACGCCTCCGGGGTTTTGGCCAGTGCCCGCGTTGAGAGCGCGATAAAGGATTTTTATAGGTCTAATAACAAAAAATTATACTGCATATGCAAGCATCAAGCAGCTAGTTCGCATAAACGTTTTCACTGAGGTATGTGCATAATTTTTGAAACTCTTATTTTATGCCTTCACAGTTGAGATCTAAAAGAACCCTCAAATTAATCCGCAAGTTAAATCTAAAAGCAGTAGGTCGATATGTACCTATGTTTGGGAACAACTTTAATTCACCCCGTCAATTGGCCGCCAATATATGGGGAAGAAACTGCACAAACGTTTATATTTTAATTCAGTTAAGATAAATTAGTGGAAGCGGCAGTGTCTTCACTGGCAAGCCACATAAAGACGTTGGCGTTGGAATACGTTAATTAGATTAACACACTAGATGGCAGAGTATTCAAAAAAGAAATAAAGAGGGGAGGAAGGAATGGATTATAACCAAGGGATATTTGTTCACTCATCAGCAATGATTTAAAAAATCAATATTTTCTGAGGACGGTGGACATTAATGGCCAACACTGCTGGTCCCTAATCACCAAATGTTTTTAAAGTCTACTGTCTTCTCACGCCATACAACATTTTAAGCTAAAAGAATGAACTAACTAGAAGGCCTAACGACTCCTGAAATGTGACCTAAATCGGGTGCGACAGTACTTTTTCACACCCCCAACCCCAGCTCTGGACACACGGGGTATCCGACCAAGAAAACTTGATTTGCGAAAGCAAAAAAATCCTGATAAAGTCTGGACCCACCCAGTAACATTCCGCAGCTGCACGCTCCCAGTGACAGCGGTCAAACGGATTACCTCATCGGCATGCCTCAACCCTTAATTCTTTATCAACGTCAACAGCCCTCAATACTTTCAGATGAAAGGGTAACCCTCGACTAGAAAATGGGCTTTAAACCAGAAACCACTCGGCGTGACGGCGCTCAATCTCTGCTGCTGCTTCTTTCGACAATAGGAAATCGGCAAAAGGTAGCCTGAACTCCGCCATGTGCATGTGTCGGAAGTATGGTGAAAGCATTCCTAGAACCGGCCATATTCGTCAAGTCACAGGTGTTTGGAGCCCACATGTTCACAGCATGCTTAAATTTAAAAAATCTTGATTGACTTAAAATAAGTGGAGGGACGGCACAGAGACTCAGGCCGCATGACGTTTCAGCAATAACATTAAAAAGTCAAGTTGGTAAACACGTGTTTTCGGTAACTCATCATCAGGACGATGCAGCTACACTGAACTTGAAGATACCGGGAGTTCATAGTGTTTATAAGTGACTCGAGGACTACTAACACTCATCGTTCGCAAGCCACCCGCATGAAGAGGTCGAAATTCCGTTTTAATTGGGGCAAGTGGCGAGATGGAGTTGACCTAGGCTGTAAGTGGTGTTAATAAGTCGGGTACGTTGAGCACATGTCACTGCCATCAGGAGGTTTGGCCGGCGTGCATTAATCATCTGGGTTCGGCGTTGGCCACGGAAGATAGAGTGCCTGTGTCAACGTCTTCTGACAGCATAGCACTGGATTCACTAGCCGTATAGCCATTGCCTCGGCTGCAACTAGCAATCGTTGGCGTAGGCCTCTGGAGAAACTTGCTGGTGTTCGGTAGACAATATGAAAGCCTGCTTTTGCGTCGACCCGGTAACCAGTGTGGATAAGATATGCAAGAATAGAACTCGAAATCTATTTGTTTTCACGTCTGCCTAGCGAGGCCGGTATGTACTCACTTTTCCAGACGCCTCGTTGTACGGTCATACGGTTGAGGTAAAAATTCTTCCTATGAACGACACGAATAAAGGAATACATGGGAATTTACCTGATTAAGCACGAGAATTATTACACCTCTCTCTAAATTTCAGGGCTTAAATTTAGGGTAATGTTTTGAGGGGTTGGCATTAGGATTATGCTAAGGGTAGGGTTAAAATTCGGACATAAAATAGGGATCCTCTTGGAATTTAGCGAGAGTCCACCTGCCGTATTGTGATTCATATCGCCCTGTTCGATTCAACTTCGCATTGGGTGTCTGAGCGTAATATTGTCATTCTAATGTGGGCTGGAAAAGTAAATAAACTTTAGTGCAGAATTTAATATTCAAAATATTAGGTAATATTTGTGTGCGTATACACCGCTGCAAAAATATGTGCACTTTGCCTTCCCATAGTCCCAATTGTGCCAGATGTCCTGATGACCTTCAAGGCCAAGACTGTGATCAAATCAATATTTGAACGCAGTAAATGCAACTGCACCTGGGATGCCGACTTAGCCAACCCCCTAATGGACGCCATAATGCGCCTGCCCCCCTCTGCTACGTCCTCCACAGCGGCTCAACTAGCCCTATCAGAAATCGATTTTCTCGATCCAAAAGTGGCCTCCAGGCAGGAGCGACGCGATGTGGCACGTCTGTTGCAGAACCTGGAGACCTTGACTGAGAACTGCAGCATCAACACCACGGCCATGGCCAGAGAGGTGCGAGAATCGCGCATGGACAGGGAGAACTTTGCGGTGGGGATGTTGTTTGCCTCAAAGCCAATTGTACAGTTAATTGTCAATCCGATGGTCGGACCTTTAACCAATATGTAAGTTGGCTGGCCCGTCCAAAATCAGCACAACCGCAACAGGCCACTGACCACTGCTTTGCATGAGTAGTAATAAATTACGAGCTGATCAATCGATTATTGGCTGTATTGATTTCCCTCGTTCGTGCCAGTTCGGTCTTAATACTCACAAGATGCGCACAGAAGTTTTCCCTGCTGTGACCGTCATTGAAAAATAGCATTTTTGAACACTACTCCCACAAGAAAAAAGTGCACTCGAGATGAGGGCATTGGTCTGTTTAGAATAGCTTCCTAATTATGAAGAGCTTCGGAAGTTTAAACGAGCGTTTATGTGATGTAATATGCGCATACGCAATACGGTTTAGGCAGCCCTCCTAATCCATGTTTACATGTTTGTCATTTACTTTTATTGAGTGTACGCTTAAGTCGGCAAATGTATTAAAACACTTGAGATCCACCTTTTCTAATCGTCTTCCGAGGTAAGACGTGGATGTTTGCAGTTTCTTGCCTAAAACTAAGTCTTTTCTTTCACTTTTTGTATATTCGAACTGATCTACGTCACAAATCGTCCATTGAAAGGGTTTAACATTTCCGTAAGGCAACATCATGATTAGATGAACTGATTTATTTGACTGCATTAAAACCAACCCTTAACTTGAGGGGTAAGATTACTGTTTCCTAGAAAGGGCTTCAAATAATGGCAAACAATAAGATCCTGTGATAAAATATTCAGGGTTTATATTGTGGCAAGGCAAATTACATTTTATTTAGGATACGGACCGAACCATTCCCTTAACCCGTCTGTTCCTCAAAATTTCCATCGACTGCCAGAATGCCTACTTAATCAATTCTTTTTTTCTGCCTTCTTCCTTCACTTCGATAGGATAGGATATTCCATTCCCATGTTTGCCGGTCTCGTCATCATGTTTGCCTCGACGGTCAGTAAGTTCACTTGTTTCACTAAGTGCTTCCGTTGCGATATTTTCCGGCAACTCCGTCTTAACTACAAGGTGTTTCGTTGCAGCCTTTGCCTTCGGTGAGAGCTACCTGGCTCTACTACTGGCCCGAACTATACAAGGCGCGGGGTCCGCCTGTTCCACTGTCTCCGGCAAGTTTGAATGGAACTACAAGTCTCCACTCGGTTGTTTTCTAAGTTGCTTGAATAATCTACTGCCTTAACGTTCGTAGCTATTTGAGGGCAGAAATGCAGCACTTACCTGCTCTATTGTCGTGTCTGCAGGTCAGCATTGGCTTAGTAAAAATCCCCGATGGGGTGTAAAACAGCTCATATTTTCATGGTAGAGGGGCGCTCATTGATCGTATTTTTACTGAAATCACTCGTCCCGCTATGCCTTACGGGCTCTCTTTCTCTCGAGCTCAACCAGCAGCCGCACATGGCGCATGATATAGGCCGTCGTCAGCCAGTTCTACCTGACCCCGAGGTGTGCAACACCTGGGCTCGATTCCGCGACCGGTAGGTAAAACGGCCAACGCCTCTCTAAGCACTGAGCAACGGGCTCGTTTTCCTGCCGGTTGCGATCGGGAATATACAGTGGTAGAGTGCCGCCCACTGATCCTATTTTACGGAACTCACTCGTGCCGTTGTGTCATAGGGCTTTCTCTCTCCATAGGAGGTTCAGGAGTTTTATTTCCAGGAGTAACTGCGAAGAGGCAGATATTAAGAATCGGTTGACAAAGATCATGAATCGGGTGTCAGCGTCTTTTGTCAAACGAATTACTCAATTAACATGCAGTCATTAGGGGTGAGGGGTCATATGGAAGGCGCCTGTTTGCGTGGATTGAGTAAGAGCATCACAAATCTAGGAAAACGTCCTAACCATTCGTAAGGCCACCCAAAGGGAACTTTCAGTAATATTGCATACCTAAGCCTGGTGGTATTCTGAAGTCTCTGTCTGGCCGGCGTCAGAGGGAATGGGTACAAGTGGCCATGTATCCAAGTGGCAGCCAGTCAGCTTCAACTTTGGCGAGTTGGTTCTTAGAGGTGTGCATGCGTGTGGTTAGTTATTTTCGAGGTTGCCAACGTGAAGGTATCCACGCAACTTCCGCCAGTTTGAATAAAAAACCGAGTATTCACATTTGAACGTTTAACTCGAGCAAAAAGTCAGTCAATCAGAGATATGGGAAAAATTGTCCTAGCATATCCAAAAGAGCAGAAATCTTTGTAATTTGGATATCGAACATTCATTATAGGTCGGCAATTCAAGTGACTTAGAACGTTTTCGATGATATCAGTAACCGTTTTTGCAGATTCGCATAATCTGATCTTATCGCAAAATCCCCGGGGAGATTTGGGTCCACGACAACACGCACCAGTCATGTCAGCTTAGCGTGTCAAAACTAGTGGACTCCATACGTAGCCGCACGTTGGGCGGAACCTCGTAGCCTGTAAGACTAGAGCGATGACCGCACAAAGGACTTGCATTTGACGTCGTGGGGTCTAATTGCATCGAGGCCACAGGGCTTTTTTTACAAATGAATCAGGTATATTAACTGATATTGTCTAACAGAAGATGAATGCTATCGAAGCGCCGTGTCTTGTATCTTTAAATACATCAGATTTAGCTCCTTCTTTGAATATACATCACCCACCTCAGTATAGCACAAAAACTTTCCCTTGCCGCAGCCAAATGTCCAGTGCACTGCGTCCTAGAGTAACATTCATTCAGTCAATTTATTATTGTGGATTTAGTTTCTTCCCCATAACACTCGATTGCACAAATTATTTTTTAGGTATGGGCATGCTGGCTACCTACTATAAGGATCCGAAGGAGCGATCTCAGGCCTTTGGATATGCCCTCACTGCCCTTGCTCTTGGCGTCTTAGGTAGTCATTTTGCGCAGACTGCAACTCCAAAATATCCGCGCTAAACCTGTCCTGCTGATTACTGCACACCGTTTTAATTCATGGCCTATGCGTTATTAATGGATGAGAAAAAATCAATACTTTTAACGCTAATCGTAAATAGACTACACTTACAGACGAGACCAACTGTGAAATTTCCTTTTGTCGAAGCAAACAGACGGTCAATTTTCAACGACAAATATTGGTGACTATGGTAGTGATGTGAAAGTATTGATTTAGTAGCGGAATTTCTACGTTATTAACTCAAGTAGAATAGATTACTGCAGACTGTCCAGCTAACGAAAGTGAAGCCAACACTCATATGTTGATTTTTTGATGAAAATCCTTCCCGCAACCCGCGCTAGTATGATTCGTGGAAAAAGAACCGGGAAAACGTTTTTACATTTTCCGCCACACACACGCATCTTTGTAAGATTTTGACTTCAGCCGACAACTGCGTCTTAAGAAATCGAGAATTTCCTCAATGAGGAACTGCAAAATCTAAATCGAATTTCGTGGGACTTTCTTAACATGCCCTTAAAGCCGTCCAAGAACTGCGGGTTTCTCTTATTTGACATTGTATCTTGTAAAAAAATCGCTTAATGAAAGTTTGGCAGACAGTAGACTGTACATATCTGTAGGGTTTCCGTAATTTGTTTTCCCATGGAGACACGATATAGTGGAGCCTTGCTTTGCATAACCCAAAATAATATATTATATTTCTGAGAATATGATCGGCAAACATTGCAAAGGGGAAAGAGACGATGTTCTTTTTGTAAAAAAATGCATTTCTTACTGAAGAAAGACTTCGTTACGTTCCTCAGCCCGTCCGCAAGCCCATGGTAAACTTACAAAACGGTTCTGATAAGATGATATTTTTGACCAATACGCGTGAGCTGTCATCAGTCCTACTTGCCTGCACTTGCATTTGAAAATTCGGCAATTGTAATTTTATAGATACGTCTATTAAGGCAGGATCCTTTTAACCGCAGTACCTTTTTGAAAACAATAGGGATGCATAAAATGCTTCTGTCTTCTTCTCCCTCTCTCTCCAAAGCTTCACACAATACAGGTTTTACACCTCTACACGTATGCGAAAGGCGACGCAGTTAAAGTACTAGGATTTGTTTTGTATGAGGAGTTCCTTAACGTACAGAAGACCTTCCCTCTGCTGCCACTAAGCCATTCGTTTACTAACATATTTTTATATTTTTAGTTGGACCAACCTATGGCGGCATCGTGTACGAATTTGTCAACAGACGAGCGCCTTACCTCATCTTATCAGCGCTGGCTGTACTGTGTGGCGGTAAGTAGAATACTGCTTATATGATGGATGATGGATAAACAGCAAATGAAGATACTGACTTGAGTACTGGAGCAAGTTCTGAAGAGTCATTAAGTAGTTGAAGAAAAATTGATCCCTGGGATACCTACCACTTAGATGGTGTTTTGCATGTGAAAACCAGTTGGATGTTCGTGTCAACAGCGATAGGTGACGAGACTAAAGTGGCTGATTCTGGCTCGTCAGCCGTCATCAAACGCCAGACTATAAATTTGTCGACTGATCAGCAGGGCACGCCTTCACCGCTAAGCTAACAGGTTCACGTCATGTCAGCTGAGGCCGGGATCACCTAATCACGTAGGTGTGGCGCGCACCGATCTGCCTTGATTGGAGGAAGAAAATGACGGGAACGGTCATCTCAGTATTTAGGCCTATGTCAGTCAAATATATCCGATTGTTCAGAAGAGACAGTGGCGAGTGAACGTTCCTTTCGGTAAATTCTCATCAGACCAATACAGTTACATAGGGCGGGGTACAGTGAGTGAAACAAAAATCGATAAAAGTTAGATTTTAAATTACAGGCTAGGCAAGAACGGAAGGGCACAGAAAGTTGTATGTGGTTAGTCAACCATTGACCACGGTAAGCTTGGAGCCTGAACAAGGTTACGAAAACTGACCCTATGCGCCCAAAAGAACCTTGTTCAGGCTCCGCGCTTACCGTGGTCAAAGGTTGACTAGCCACATACAACTTTCTGCGCCCTTCCGTTCTTGCCTAGCCTGTAATTTAAAATCTAACTTTTATCGATTTTTGTTTCACTCACTGTACCCCGCCCTATGTAACTGTATTGGCCTGATGAGAATATCCGATTGTCTTCAAGATTTTGGAATGCAACCAGATATCCATAACCAATATTGTTGAGCTACTGATTTGATTTCAGTAGGCGTAATTAAATTGCAGCTACATACTACAGGCTACGAGCGAATGCGTTTAGCTTACTTTTTAGTCCAGCCAACCTCTTGGCTCAGTGAGTTCACTAGGCGCGTTTCCTACTTAATCCAACGAGTGCTTAAGCTAAGAAGCGAGTGTGTTCACTTCTCTTTCCGATCCAGCGAGTGGCTAGGCTACGCAACTGAATGCGTTTACCTTCCTTTTAATCTTGCGAGTGGCTAGGCTATGAAACCGCATGCGTTCAATGTATTTTCTAACCGAGCGAGTAACTAGCCTACGTAATCGCGTGTGCCTTCTGTATTTTCTAATCCAGTGATTAGCTATGCTGCCAAACCGAATGTGTCCACTTTATTTTCTAACCCAGCGAGTGGCCAGGATGTGAACCAAATGTGTTCACTTTATTTTCTAATCCAGCGAGTGGTTCGGCCAGGAAACCGAATGTGCTCAGTTTGCTTTTTAATCCTGCACACCCTTACCTATGCCGTCGGTTTGCTCTCCCACTGGTCGACTAGGTCTGCGCTCACTCGTACGCAGCGGTTAACTTTCACCTCATTCAAAGTTTCGTTGCGCTTCACTCTACGGATTTTTTTCGCCCACTTCTGTCGTATAATTTCTGGTGCATACGATAGCCTCACCCGTAAAACCCCTCTTGTTACGATTCCCGTAGTAGAGGTAACTGGGATAGACCAGCCGCAGGGATGGCTGCATGTTAAGCTCTGACCCGAATATCGACCGTTAGTTGCCATGCCACCGCCTTCGTGAAGACAACGGAACCTCAGCTCAAAGGTTCTATCTCATACGGCAGTCAGGATAGATTGATGGACGTCGCTGTCGTGGAACAAACAAGAAGAACAATTTGATTGTCCTACTTCATTTCATGTGAAGCACCTAACTGACTGTTTATTGTTGTCACATGCACTAAAAATACTCGTAATCGTAACTCTATGTGTGGCCACAGAGCGGGCTACATAAGACACACAGAGGCCGGGCACATATGGTGGATTTAGTGAACAAATTCTTCACATGAATACATTTCGGACTAGTTCGAGCTGCAATTTGGCCCCACTTAATAGTGCCTTAAAAATAAACTTTAAACGGCAGAGATATTAGAATGGCAGTTTTTCGAATCCTTTTTCTTCCGAGAGAGGATAATGAAGACTGATTGAGCGCCGGAACAATTTGTTTATTTATTGGTGTTTTTGAATACGAACAGGAGTCAGTCAACAAACTAACAAGCGATAATACAGGGGTATTAGTCAAGCATCGCTTAGTGACATACGCTTGGAGCTGACTAAGTTAGACGTTGTATGCCAGAAGCAGATTAGTAAATGGACTGAATGAGTTCTACTCTAAGGCACAGACCTCAATCAATTCTCGGTCTGGCTTGCAGAGTGGACGATTGCTTTGGTGGTTGCGATGTTAAAGGAGTGACCCATTTCGAAGGCGTAGACAGCCGCTGGGAATAACCTGGCACCCCGTTGCACAGTCAGTTCATGTTTCTGCATGCGCGATCCTAGTATGCGTTCAGTTTGGCCTGTGAACTTACAAGCACAGTTTAGAAGCAGGATGCAATACACTGTACTCGACTGTTCCCAGAAATTCAATGGGTCCTTACCCTTCCTGACAATTCTGCACAGAGTATCTTTTGACCAATGCACAATTTCAACATGTAATCTAGCAGCAACGCGCTCGTCCTTAGTATAAGTTAGAGCGTGCCATACAATCGGTGGTGTTCCCATTTGGGTCCGTCAGGGGGCGAACACGTGGTCATTAACTTATGGATGCCTTCGGCTAACCATTCTGCACTAATTTTTCGACGAGGTATCTGGCCTCGCGGGCTTTTTCTGTCGACGTGCTGTGATGAGTATGGACTAGTTTACTGAACGTTCTCACACAGCTTCGTTTGTGAGTCACCTAAAACAGTTTTTTGTTTGCTAAACAGGTTTCCTGAAAGTCATTCCTAGTAGGCACGGTTGTGCGCAACTGTAGTAGCTTAACGAATCCTACCGTCGTTCCCAAAGTTAGTTTTCTTTGGGGCAACATCACGCAGCCTCCCCTATAAAAGATATCTTCCCAACTTTCGAAATTCACCTCCAACAACCAATCATTTTTCCGTCTCTGTTGCGCTTGAATACTGCCTGATTAATACTTGCGTTTGAACAAACTATATCTTGCTGTTCTGTGTCGCCCAGAGTCTGGTTTATAACTATTCCGCTTCATACGTACAATTCATGAGAATGGTTTGGACAGCAATTAAAAATTACTCATCTATTACTATAATTCACTTGAGTAGTCAGTCATTGCTGATTTTCCTGAATACCAGTTTTGCAGATTGTCGTTTTCAAGCCAGCGATTCGACCAGAGGACGAAAAAGGAACTTCAATTTGTCACCTCCTTACTGACCCCTACATCCTCGTGGGAGCAGGTAATTGCAACTCCTATGAACTATTTTTCCTCAAAATGGGTTTTCAAGAGAGACGCTAGTCCGCATATACAAAGTCGCTGTTATCCCTGTGTTAATTTTCATAAATAAAGATATACGTTTAACTGGTAAACGCATGCTTTGTTACGCGGATTACAGATGGGAAAAGCTCACTTACAGTGAGTGACCGATCTGATGAAATGTTTGGGTGAAATATCGTTTTCGATTAAGAAGAATTACTTAGGTGGGGTTTTAAAACTAATTATAATGCGGAATAATCCCACAATATTTCGGACTCGGTAGGATATCGGCTGTTAAATGCATTTTTTACCTTCTGTGGAAACCGTGTGCGGTAAAAAATGACCACTTAATTGGCGTGCATTTTTCACATCGTTTTCGATCTTCCTAAATATTCAAATACATATTATAAAAAGCATGAACTAAAATATGCTTTTGTTTACTCGTTTAATAGAGAACCACGTCATCTTCACATTTTGCGCTCAAAGAAGACGTATAATTATGTTTTAAGAAGTTATCTAATTCCCGAATTATTTTAAGCCTGATCAGCCGTTTCATTAGTGCTTAAAATTTAAGTTTTCAAGATGTATGCTTTCACGTAAGGATAATCATACATTTCACTGTCTTTAAAAAGATATCATATAGATTTTTATAGAATTTTCAATGCGTGCGGACTATGTTGTGCATTCCACTAGGAGCAGTTGGAAACGGACAGGTACGATACTGTAGGAATGGACACTAAGCGGTTTTACAAAATCTCATAATAAGGAACTTTTTAAAACTCGAATATACCCCTTCTTCGGTTACCATATGTGAAGTTGACGTGATTCTTTATCCAACGATCTCCCGCCGAGTCCGAAATATTGTGATTAATTCCGCATTATAGTTGGTTTTAAAACCCCATTTAAATATTACTTATTAATCGGAAACGCATTTCAGGCCAGAGATGGCGTGTCTCCCAATCAAAGGACTGAAAGAAAGCCTACTTCTGTTCTATGAAATATATTTGAATTTGCAAGACCATCGAAAATGAATGTGAAAAATGCATGCTACCTAAGTAGCCATTTTTTCCGAATACGGTTACTACAGGCGATTGAAAAGCAGTGCATTCAAAAGCTGACACCCTGCCGAGTGCAAAATATTTTAGGATTATGCCGCAAGATAATCAGTATTACAACCGCGCCTAAATAATCCTTTTTAATCGAAAACGCATTTCAAAATTTCAGCCAACATTTCATGAGATCGGTCACTCACTATATTTCAAGGACTCCAAAGGCTATCTCGGTTTTTCTTTTAAAAGCCCGTTTGCATATACAACAAAAGCTGTTTAAGGGTCCTGTACGTGACAATATGTGCACGCTAAAACATACCGGAAGAAACGGTTAACAAAGATACGCTACTTACCCGATTGATTACGAAGCAAATACTGTGGCATTGGGTTTATCAATCGGCACTTACTGAGCCGCAGATATGTCGCACAAAACCTTACACTAGGGGAGTCTCAGAAATCATAGATCGTGGCTTTTGAGGTCTAAAAACTGAAGTAGAGCAAGTTTAAATCAGGTTTAACAAAGTCTTTGAGTATGGACTACCGAATTTCTTATGAAGGCCGCGTCTGCAAATATTCTGTCCAGCTTAAGTGAAGACTCAAGATAAGGCCATAAAAGCCTACTAGGAAAGTTTCATCAGAAGATACAATTTCCCTCGTGGCTACTCATTGTCCAGAGCGACATCATATCCTCAATTTTGCTGCTAAGCCGATATTTATAAGAGTCGCCAACAAGGCTGTGAGTGGGTTGATCGATACTTGGTCATCGATCAAAACATCGTTTGGTAGAAGCATCGAAATCGCACCCTAAAAGGAAGCGCCGCGATGTCAAACTAAAGATCGATAACCAGCCGCAAGACTGACGACTGCAGCAAACCTCAGAGCAAACGCAAGACCAAGCTGACTAGGTGCTTCTAAAGCAAAACCCTTTGTGGTTCGCATCTTGGGAGTTAGTCCCCCCAACTGGTGTGAAAGACCAATTAGGTGCTTCAAAATCGACGAAAAAGGTTTCAGGATACATAGTTTCTGAGCGAATTTTGCACAGGTTTTCTTCAGCAAAGTGTACTTTTACTGTCTACTGTGTGTCACATTTTCGTTTTCGGCAAACTAGTTAGAATTATAGCAGGATGAAGCAAGCATCCACAAGCCAAGTCGCTGATTTTGAAGACATGAGCTGTGAGAAACGAGGTGATGGTATGCTGGAGAAATTGTCATCACTCTTTTTTGAGTATCGCAGACTTCCGCCAAACTTGTCTTCTAGATATAGGTTCGCATAGAAGCGTGACACGTGAAGCTTTGGCCAGTACCACCACTGAAATCAAAATTTTGTTAAGTTAGCTTAGCCAACAGAAAACAGTTATTCACGACTCAAGACCTGAGCAGGTTTATTACCATTGTGGAGCAAGATAAAAAGCCCCACCACCGGTGATTTTTTGTCTCAACAGGAGCTCTGACCTTTGGGACCGTCGGCATCGCTGTGCTGGAACCCACTCTACCAATGTGGATGAAGAAACACATGAATTCGAACAGTTGGGAGCAGGGAATTGTCTTTCTCCCCTCCAGCATCTCCTACCTGCTCAGCACAAACATCATCAGTCGGTTTGCCCACAAAGTGGGTCACTGGCTGAGCGCCCTTCTGGGAATGGTCATCTGCGGCCTCTCTCTTATTTGTGTGAGTCTGCGTCCTAGACTTGAGTAAAAACAAACCGGTGGGACAGGAACATTCGAACTCCCCCTTATACAGGTGACCCGGCGCTGGATTCCGGGTTAAGGTTACGGTTTTGGGAAGTGTTCGATTAGGGACAGAAGAATAGGTATCACCGTCAGTCCGGGATAATTCTCTTCCCCACGTCTTGCTCAGTTCAGTCAAACGCAGGGATTCTGTTCGTGCCGCGGCTTTTGGTAAACGCTTGGATTCCAAAATTCATAATTAGGCTAAAAATATTTTCTTATCTTTGCCCACAAAGTGGGTCACTGGCTGAGCGCCCTTCTGGGGATGGTCATCTGCGGCCTCTCTCTTATTTGTGTGAGTCTGCTTCCTAGACTTGAGTAAAACATAAACTGGCAAGACAGGGTAATTTGAACTCCCCCTGGTGCCGCAAGTTCGTGGTTCTAATGAGCTTAGGAAACTGGAAGGACGCTGGTCTTGACTTGTGTAGGCGGATGCACAGTAAGTGGGCTAACTCATGAAACGTCAACGAAAATTCCGAAATGCGATTTCGTCTCGAAAAGATTAATTAAGTAGGGTTGTAAGACTGATCAGGCTGCAGCATCATTTTTAATAATTCAGTTACCTCAGGATGCCGGCTTTCGAACGACCTTCCTTACGGCTGCATGCAAAAACTACACTCTGTAAAAGATGACTACTTCAGTAGCATGCATTTTTCCCTTTTATTTTCGGTGCCCGTAAAATTCCAGTCCTAGTTCATGGAAAACATGCATAAGAATATTCATTCTTTCACTTATTCGGTAGAACATTACGTGTTCTATCAATCTGATACTCGAAGGACGAGTATAATTCGGTTTTAAAAAAGTTTCTTATTGTGATATTTTTAAATACCGTAAAATGGCCGTTCATAAATCGCATGTCTCTGCATTTACCAATGTGACTGGTAAAGTTAACAATATCCAATGCTAAATTTTATGAACCCCATATGGTCTCCTCTTAATACCGTAAAGAAATGTGTGGCTCTTCGTACGCGGAAACTACATGGCTTGTAGGTTGGAAACCCTGAATTCAAGTGCGACGACAGAACGTGTTCAAAATGATTCATGAATCGGAAGTTTTTAAAAACCGAATGATACCGTTCCTTCAAGTATAAATCTGAAAGAAGACGTAATTGTCCACCGAATGGACTGAGGAATTAACATTTTAATGCATGTTTTCAGGGAAATATAATTAGACATTTAGAGACATCGAAAATCAATGGGATAAAGGCATGCTACTTAAGTAGTCATTTTTTACAGAGTATAGTTTTTGTACACGGCCGGAAGGAAGTTGTTTCAAAAGCCGGCATCCTGAAGTAATTGAATTATTATAGAATCAAACTGCAGACTGATTAGTTTTACAATCCCACTTAATTTATCTTTTCGAAACGAAAACGCATTTCGGAATTTCAGTTGACATTTCATGAGTTAGCCCACCTGCTGTAGGTGGCCTTGTGCTGAATTCCGGGAGATAAGGGTTAAGGTTACGGTTTTGGTAAGTTTTCGGTTAGGGACAGGAGAATAGGTACCACCTGCAGCCCGGGACCATACCCTACTCCACGTCTTGCTCAGAAACCATATTTGCTCAGTTAATTCAAACACAGAGATCCTGTTTGTGTCGCGGCTTTTCGCAAACGTTGGGATTCCAAAATACATGGTTAGGATAAAAATATCTTTTTATCTTTGTCAAAAGGCCTCTTTAGGAGCCTTCCCATAAAAAGGCGAAAAAGGATTAGCCAAGACTCGGCTGATCGAGGTCAGGCTCCCAAAAGGAAAACCTCGAAACCATCAGCACTGCTATTAACACACCGGATCGTATAAAGAGGTTTTTATGGCATATGTCACGAGGAGATGAATCGTAGTGCTGAACCGTAAACATGGCATTGTGCAGAGGCTTGAAAGCACCCAAAAATAAACACTTTAAATTTGAGGAAACTTTACTCGAAGACCAGGATTAGGGATGAGTCGGAGGCAGTTTAGAACAAACTGCAGAAAAGTGGCAGCATTCTGCTGAATTTGCCAGGTGCACAGATCACTGCAAATACGCAAACGCTCCGGACGATAACAGTGCCTATCCATAAGAGGTCCTGAAAGTGAACGTTGCGTAGATAACCACCAACGCCAGTCAAACGAGGATGGATGGTTGTATAAGAACCTAGAAGTCTAACGAATATTGATTTAGAAAGTGCGAAAATAAGAGAAACTGTCGTATCGACAGAGGAAAAAAATTAATAAATTGCCTGAAAAGAAATGATTGACGAGTTTATTTATCGGTTCGACCCTTCTGGTTAAAACGACGAGGTTTCTAATTCACGACGTTGTAGATCAAGTAGGCAAAACACTTCGAATTCAGGATAGTTTTAAATATCCACCTGCCTGGAATGCCCCTTATTTGATATTGGCAGGTGAGCGCTCGCCGATCGCGTTCGGGGCACACGCATCCGGTTGTGCCTTAGGACTCCATCACGAGTTCTGGCAGCGGCCGTTAAGTGGCTGGTATTATAGGCAGAAAGACAAAAATTGCAAGACAAGGGAGACTGGAGTGGTCATCATCTACCGTTTCATCGTTTGCAACTAGATTCCAAATGAAGGGAGGATGCGATGGGCTACTTTGCTGCACTAAATAATTTAGCTATGCATAAAAGAGTTTCCAAAAACGCAAGGAAGACTGGGATGGCCATTTCTGAGATATTAGCTGCCATCATCCAGCCATACCGAAATCCATATTTTGCAGCTCTTGATGCCCGAACACGCGACCCCTTGATTAGAAATCCAATGCCCTAACCACTGAGCCACGGGCTCGATGTCTTGTCCGATTCCCCTTCTCGTTCACGCGTTTATCTTTCAGCGTCTCGTAACTAAGTGCATCAGGGAGGTACCGCTTTGTTGGACAGATGTAAGGACGCATTAGCAATGAATGCTACAGTCTTTTGAAACTTGGACTTCGAAAACTCCATAACGCAGAGGCTCTTCCTTCTAGGAATCCAGTCTTTCGTATGTTAGCACGCAGGTATAGAGAAAAGCATGGCTGGCACACCACCCACCCGGATGAATTGTAAAGTGTGCAGGGAGCTTCATAACACCACATATGACTCCTAACCTTAACCCTTAACCCCAACCCCAACAGTATTGTGTCTATTAGGTGGGGCTACCAAACCACATCTTACGCAAACCTGGAGTGCCGAAATCATTTAGCTGTCTGTAAAACTTGTCAAAGGTACTGCGGTTTGCGCGTGTGATTTCTAAGTCCACACTTGGACAAATGGTCAGAATTTACTATACATTCTGCAAAAAATGTTTTTCCTGTGAACAATTTTTAGCGAGGGTAAATTTTAATTGCACAACAAAAGTATACAACTTACCTGTTAACTTCCCTATTCAGGTGCCCTTTGCCCAGTCAATGGTTCATTTACTCGTCCCTGTCTTTACGCTTGGAGTGGGTATCGGTACGTGAAGGCATGAAGTATATTCCGCTTGCTGTCGATCTATTTTCCACCCAAGTTCACTAATATAAAATACAGACCTACTGAAAAGGCATCAGTAACCACATTACAAATTAAATAGAGGATCCAAATTTCCCTCATCGTTAGTGGTAGCCCGTTTTCTAAGTTCGACCGCAGTACCAAAACCGGCGACCCGGGCAACCACGCCGGACCCAATAAAATGGGCTGATCAAGAGAACAACTTCGGAAGAATTTAATGAGAGTGTCATGTACCGATCTATCCTGCATTTTGTTTTGCCCTGGAACACTGGAATGACTACTCGGGGATATTGGAAGCGGACTGCGAAACGTAACCATCAGTGTTAATCAATTTGCACTAGATCCTGTTTTCAACGCTTAAACGCAAAAGTCATCTAGAAATTTCGTCACCAGACGGATGCTTCTGCTTTCATAAACCATAGACACACTATGTTGGCGTTTGATAAACCCCTGTAACAGCCAATAGTTAGAGCGATCAAGTGTTAAAAACATGCCATTTATCTGATTGTATCTAAAACATCCCGGTAATTCCGAGTGAGATTTTTACAATTGAAATGCTTAGTTAAGTGAAGTACAGATTCATTAAGTTGAAGAGCGGACATTAAGTATGTGCATTCGTATAGGAGTCTCTGGTCTTCACGTAATTTGCCTCAAGATAATCCTTTTCGATATAACTCAGACAAGATAAATGCTTACTAATTTAAAAATGCTATTCCACCAGATGCGACATGTCATTTTGCGGCAAATACACGCTGCAAATACCGCACCCTCTGCGTGTCCGCAATCTTCATTTGTTGTTATTTCTGATGATGAGTCCGAGGCTGAATCTAAATAGTTAAGTCTGTGAAACACCAGTTCCGTCGTTGTTGACTCCCTATTCTACACTACTTGAAGGAACTCGCGGTGTCGCATGTATCGGCAATAGGCCTCTTTGCTCGTTATAAAGAATTATGCGATTTCTAGTTTATTTTGAGGATTTTATCTTCTCAGAGAATTTTCGATGCAACATCTCAACATTATTTGATAAACACTTAGAATGACCAACTGGATAAAATGCACAGTCCTAAGATGTTCATCAAGTGTTCGCTGGTAGGAGTCCCGCTTTCTTCCGTGATCGATGACGAACGTCAATTGCGTACAAATGTGCAGCGCTTTTAGTACTTTTATTATATAAATCTAACGAACAACCTCTTCTTTTTACTTAGGCATGGTGGATGCTTCAATGATGCCACAAATGGGCTGCCTGGTGGACCTTCGTCACGTTGCAGTCTACGGCAGTGTTTACGCAATCGCTGATGCCGCCTTTTGCTTGGGTTTTGCTATCGGTAACTGCTATTCACTGTTTTTATTTCAGGTCTCTCCCCGACTACTCAGTCGGGCAAAAGCTGATCATGCATGCACTGGCATCTATTTGATTTAAAAAATCGATAACTGCTATCAATCGAAGGCGGGTTTGTCGTGGCAGTCAAAGCCAGCAAGATCTTGAGGCCTCGTTCCTGATGGGACGCTTGACACCAATAGATAGAGAATTATATTCTGCGTAAAATGACTTGATAATAAATTGTAGAGAGTCGGCAGTCGGACAAGATGGGCAAATCCGACACCGGGGGAGCAGGCATCACGAGTGGCTGTGGAACATGCGTTCGAGCTCCTTGAGTCAGAGCGTCTGCGTTGGCCTTGAATTTGATTGGCGGGTTTACATAGCTAGGATTGGCCGAGAAGCAGGCTGACGGTGTCACGCGCGTGCAAGCGTGCGCGGGAAGCGCAGGATGACTACAGGTTTGCGCATATTTCGTACTGTTATTTTATGTCGCGTGTCTACGGAAAATCTCCGCATACAAAGTGCCACAACTGCATGAAAATGAATTAGGCTCACCCAGTCCCCATTCTGGTTGCGATGCTGTAGACTGACAGGAGTAAGCAAGCGGGAAACGGCCTGGCCAGTCAGTGAATGCCCCCATCTGACAGGGTACTTTCGAAAATTGCCTGAGACAAAATAACCTAATCTGCACTCGATCAGCTCCAAATGTTTTGAGGGTTTTTAGAAATCTAAACTAAATCATAGTCTGCATAGATCTCGGCGGTCCACGTTTACAAGGACTTTGCATTGCGAAGGTCAGTTACCAGTTAGACACCATTACGTACCCGCAAATGTTGCGATCGAACGTGAGAATAAGGACCTCAATGTACTGCATGTGATCATGCGTTAAATTCCAGCGAGTATTCAGTCCCCTGTCCCAACTTTTACCCTAATCCCAACACCAACCCTACCCTACCACTAAAACTAAACCCGATAAACCTGGCGGTAACTATAACTTCCTGAGATTTAACGCAAGGCCACAAGCAATAAAGGATCCCCGTTTCTTTTCATTCACCTTTACTCAACTTCGTTCGCCGGTAGGTAAACGACCTCCTTTAACTGTGAGGCCTTTGGATCAATGAAAAGGTCTATCGCGGCACGCTAGGCCGCAAGTGAGACCCTGGCTACCACGACCTTCAGGCCCGGTCCCAGATGGAAAGCGAAGGCGGAAGCCAATGGGGTGGATAATATATTCTGTACGGAATAACCGGATAAGTAGTTGGAGAGAGTTGGCAGCCGGACGAGGGCACGTCCGGCGCCGGGTGAATGGCGTCCCAAGTGTCTGTCAGGATATGCGTCAAAGCGTCTTAAGACAGAGCACGTCTGACTCGGCCCTGAATCTGATTGGTCGGTTGGAAAGTCGAGTGGAAGAATGCCGGATAACCATGGTGCGCTCGTGCAGACATTCGCGAGAGGTCTAGCGTTCAGGCAGACTCTCGGAGTAGTGCCACTACAGGTCAAACCACACGGGGCGTTAACGAAAGTAGAATGTAAGCTCTAAAACACCTATATGTACATCCAGATGCTGGGATTTGCAAGCCTTTTTGAATAAACGGCAATCCAGATACTAAAAAGGACATTCATATTTTGCATTCACTTGATCACTCGGCATCCCTTTTATTTTATTCCACTTCAGGACCTGTGGTCAGCGGAAGTCTAGCTCAGACTGTTGGTTTCAGTTGGTAAGTAATAGATTATTGTTTCTGACCTTTCATCTGCTGCAAGGTCTACGTTCATTGATAGTTGCCTCGGTAGCGTTAGAAACGATTCTTTCAGTTACCTGGCGACAGTTGTCTCTTTTTAACCTTAATTTGCTGTGTCACGAGAGTCATTTAGAATGCAATATAAAGTGGTATGTAACCCCTGACGCACTGGTTTGCAACTGAAGGGATTCATGAGATGCACATTCTAAGAACACCGGTACAGTAGATTATAACGCACTTCCGATGCGATACTATCCGAACAGTTGCTCGGTCTACGCTCATAATATGTGGCAAAACTCATTACAAATTGACAGTACAAACGCATAGCGATTCTTAGTATTAAATTATATGCCTACTTGGACTAAGATTATGGATCTGCACTAAAGAGATACTACGATATATAGTTTGCTCAACTTGATATCTAAACGCCTGAGTTTTTTGCTTCCCAACGATCCACTACGATCTACTTTCAAAGCAGCTTCGACGAAAGAGTAAAAATGATCCTGTTTGGTGTCGGTACTTAGGTAAGGTCTTCTTGCAGGACAATTTTACACGGTAATATCTTTGCGGTTTCTAGGAAGTCATGTTGCTGTAAGGCATGGAAATTGAAAATTTGAAGTATTATGAATTAAAATATGTGCAGAGACGCATAGCTTTTGAAACAAAACTATATCCCTTGCTCTGTTGTAATGATTGCGTTTTACTCGCCCGTAATGTCTTCGTAGAGCGCTTTCATGTATTATTTAACATTGGCATATACACCTGACATGGTACTCGTAAAACGTTCGAACAAGTGCAAAAACACTGGCGCACGTTGTATTTCGTTTTATGACCGACTTGCTATCGAAATAGACGTGCATTTAGGCAAATGTTTCAAATGTCTGCCAACGAGAAGCTTTAGATCGAGTTGATCCTGTTACAAATTTAAAAAATCATAATTTAAACGTCAAAGGAAGAACTGCGAGAAAATACTGTTTTATTAATCTTTTCAACTACGACAACATGTATTATATAACAACCTAATTTGAGTAGATACGTAAATATTACTCATTAATTCTAGTGTTTCCTTAGGAGGTCATGATACTTGCTATGAAGAATCATTAAAACTTGTCATGTAATCCAGCGTGCCCTTCGGTGCATCCGTCACCCGCAAGCTTGAAAAAAATCCAGGCATTAAAGTCCACATTTGTATAATGTTTGCCGAATCCCGAGCTTTCAAATGATACAAGCGACCCTAGGTGAATTTAGCTGAGGGTGATTAAAATGCGTTCGGAACATTAGCGGATGTGCATTTCTATTTCAAATCGCAAGAGGGTATTGTTTTTTCCCATGACAAAATAAATGTCGAGCATGACAGACGCGGTGTCCCGGATGTGCAGACCGAATGCATACGCAAACTTTTAGATGACAGTATACTCATCGTGCCTCTCAAGGGGAATTACTGCTTGTATGCGGATTTAGTTGCCATTAGGTAAAGTTCTACAGCACTTTGCCCTCACCTTTAACACTTGGCATGTTCAAACAGAAAACTGTCTGGTTAAAGTACTGCGGATGGTTGTGGGTAGGTTGCCCCCGTCATACCTTTGTTAACTCCCTCCTGGAAGAAACAAGACATCAGTCGGTTGAATGTCTCGTAGCCGACTGCCGTTCGAGCCACAACGCCACAATTGTCTGGGACTCAGCATACGCGCAAATGCAGTAGGTGGGCTAAATCATGAAATGTCCAACGAAATGCTGAAATGCGTTTTCGTCTCAAAAAGATTAATTAAGTAGGGTTGTAAAACTAGTCAGCCTGCAACATAATTCTATAGCATTCCAGTTACCTCATGATGTTGGCTTTCGAATGAACTTCCTGCCGACTGCATGCATAAACTACGCCCGGTAAAAAATCACTGCATATGTAGCATACATTTTTCTCATTGATTTTTTTGCATAAAAATATTCACTCTTTTGCACATTCCATAGATAATTACATCTCATTTTGATGTCATACTCGAAGGAAGGACATAATTCAGATTTAAAAAAGATTTAATTGTGGGACTTTTAACTACCGTGAAATGGCCGTTTATAAATCGTCCTGTCTCTGCATTTACCAATGTGGCTCGTAAAGTTAACAATATAGCTCAAATCCACTGCTAAATTTTATGAAGCCCATATGGTCCCCCTTTATTACCGTAGAGAAATGCGTGGTTTCCGTACGCAAAAAATATACGGCTAGTAGTTTGGAAACCCTGAATCCAAATGTAACGGTACAGCGGGTTCAAAATTATTCGGGAATTGGTAAAGTTTTTGAAAAGCGAATTATACCCTTCCTTGGAGTATGAGATTGGAGGAAGACGTAATTTTCTACCGAATAAGCAAAATAATGAATATGTTTATGCATGTCTTCCATGAAATGAATTTGGACATTTAGAGGCATCGAAAATCAATGAGAAAAAGTCATGATTCTTAGTAGTCATTTTTTACATAGTGTAGTTTTTGTATGCAGCCGGAAGGAAGTGCGTTCGAAAGCCGGCATCTTGAGGTAACTAAAGTATTATGGAATTATGTTGCAGGCTGACTAGTTTTACAACTCCACTTAATTAATCTTTCCGAAACGAAAACGCATTTCTGAATTTCGGTTCACATTTCATGAGTAAGCTCACCTACTGTGCATCCGCCTACACAACTCAAGGCCGGTGTCCTTCCAGTTTCCTAAGCTGATTTGAACCACAAACGTGCTGCTGCAAGGAGCAAAATGCGCGAGTCTGGATGCAATTAAGCGCAGTTTTGCTTGGAGAACAATGATTCTCTGTTTAAAGTGGTGTTTACTTCACGCGCTTCCTTAACAAACGAACTTTCATAATTAACCTAATTAAGTACAACTTTCAACTAAAATGCCCCCTTTCTAATTGTATCATTTTCGAGAGAAGCGATTAACTATCTACTTCACTCTTTGCATAAACATCTTACTTACAAGGTTGCGTAGACGTGAAGCAAAACACGCAGCAGTTAAATAGCTAACCAGGTGAAGTATTGTGTGTTATACTCAAGTTAAGGCGCATACCACGTGCGTGTCACATTTATCGGGTCTTCTGTGCTTAAAAGGTTTACCTTACAGAGGCCCAGACATCGGAGTCTTTGCCGTTCGAGTCGGGAGATAGAAAACATTGACTAATTTTCGTGGCTAGAAGGTGCGTGGCATGTAGCTCTTCTCGGACTACTGAGATCCCCTTATCTGTAGCTTGATCTCTATTTACTGAAGGCACAGACGATTACAATTTCGAGTCTGACTCGAACCGCTCTCCTTTCCTGAGCAAACTACCATTTTAAGTGATATTCTGCGACTTGGAGGTGCCCCTGGTTTACTCTGTTTTGTTGCCCTTTCAGGAGCATATGGGGCATAGCAACTGTCAGTATTGCCTACGCCCCTCTCCTATTTTTTCTGCGCAATCCGCGAACACGCGGAGAAACTCGGGTAAGTTCAGCAGGTCCGGCCACTTTTTGCGTACTGCAGTCCACGAAATTCAGCATCAGAATTAACTGCAAATCAAAGGGAAATTATTTGTTGGGTGAACACGTGACGACACTATTCCAAATACAACTAGGGTTACCTGCTTTTTGGGATAGATGCATTCATTTGGAACTGAAAACGTACAGCCAAGAGATTCAAATGTGCTTTCTTCTGTGCCAGACAGAATTGAGGTTTTTGTTGGGACTTATTTTTCATGACCGATTACATGAAAAAGCCACGGTATATAGTTTCATGCAATAAGCTATAATACCAAACATGCTTATGCTTTCTGAAATGCTGGATATTCATGGAAGTACTTGAATCAGTCTATTTCATTTTGTCAAGCTATCCTAAATGTAAATCAAAATTTCTACAAAATCGTTGTCTGCTTTGAAAATAAATTCAGATTTGCCAAGCCTATGCTCATAAGCGAAAAAGTTCCAAAGTATTCCGATGGTACATTTTTTCCTAGAGGATATGAGGTCTAGATGAGCTAAGGATGTTTTATGTCGGACACATACCGCACCTTAAGCTCTTTACGCATTCCTGCCGACACCAGCCCCAACTGGCACCCTCTGGCCCCTGGACTGTGAAGGACAATGAGGGGCAGTGTGGGGCTGGGCGGCGGGCGACGCCGTATATTTCGCGTTTCTGTCGCCCTTTTCGGTGTTAATTTTTTCGCCGAATGCGTTCTCCATAAACTGCATAGAACTGTGTCACGCTGAATTGTGACGTCCCAAAACCCCCTACAACCAGGCCATGCGCCATATGAGATGAATGATGATGAATAGTACATCAAGCGACCCCATTGCCAATTATGCTGAATAAAGTGGTCTAGAGCTGTAGATGCGAAAGCAGGAGAACTGAATGGCAGCCCAGCTGCTAAACCCTCAATTTCAGCAGGAAATTTATGCCGGGCAAATCCAGCACAGATCGAACCTAAAGTATCAGAGGTTGACTAGATGATGCAACATTAAAAAACGTCCGGCGCGACACCCACTCCTTCATGACATGACTCAAGGGCCAAAATCATTCCGAAATTAATATTAAAATATGCAAATAGTCGCAAGACGAAGATTGTTCTGTCATGGTACATCACGTCAACAACTTCCGCTATCCGTTACTTGTCTCTGTAGTAAGAGAAACTCACTGGTCAGAAAAACATAGTGCAGTTATTATGGGAACAAATTGTGATCAAAACACGTAATGTTTACTGAAATCCCAAATTGTCTTTAAGGGAAAGTCCTGTCTCATACAGCTCTGGTATGTTTACGATTGCACCAGACAATCCTATTCAGAGTTATTAGTCAGTGGTAAATCAGCATGTGACTCTGCGAAAACCTCTAATCTTTTGACGTCTTTATCGGAAAAATCGAATGAATTACTTAGTTCTTCGGCCAACTGCGTCTCAAATGAAGCAAAAACGGGAAAATTGAAGTAAATTTGTGTGAAAGCGTTTCTGAATCTAAACCCTAGCTGTAGGTTGCTGACTAACCTCCAATACTTTGCATTACGCTAATTCCCGTAGGATATTTAGGCGCAAACTTCACTTAAGGGCTAGTCTCGAACGTCATTCGACCCGTGCTGCTTTCTTTATATAGTCGTTTTCACGGACAGGTCCTCTGAAAATTCAGAACTTAAGTTTGCTTAATCACAACGGTCTTGGCGTTTTCAGAATTTCCCATATAATGAAAAATTGTCATTTCTAAAGGAAATGGTATTACTTTAAATGTTTTATTTTACAATCCGCCTAAATTCGTTCGTCATATATCCAATGTGCCCGTCCATTCGTTTATGCCGGTTATTAAGTAATTGGCAATGATTCGTGAATCTCGGGGCATTTGGCAATGTACCCGATTCACTGCATACAGTTTTATGAATTCGGTAAAAACCGCGTCTCATATTCAGGGGTAAAAGTAAAGATCTTGCAAGATAAGTGCGATCGTTTTATTTGATTGCATCATCATACAGCCCGAAAGGACCCTTTAGTTAAGCTAATCCTCCAGGACAGTTCTCATTTCTCCAACGTGGGAACTATCGCCACAAAAGTGAGTATATACAGCGTCTGCACAGCTGGCGCGAGCGCATTTGGCACGTAAGGAAGGCATAGAATTTACTGAGGTATTTGTTATTAAACAGAAACTGCAACGGACATGCACTTTGTACGTTATTCTCACTGACGACTTATATAAATGAGGCAAATAAAATTCTTCGACTATAAATTAGATTCACATTTGAGGATATCAATAAGATTATTGCAAGCCATGTTTCAAGTAAAGATGCTTTGGAGCGAAATGCTAATTATCTTGGCCACTTGTCAAATCTTTAACCCGTTTTTCTTGACATAAGTGCTAACCAATCGCGTTTTACCAGACTGACACCCGCAAACGCTTGTTTTACAGCCGCTGAACGATAGACCAGCTGAAAGGCTAGATGACAATGACTTGAAATCCCGTGAGGCGGGCAGCGACCTTCGGATCAACGGCTGTGTAGACTGAGAGAAATTCATGATAACAATCCGCCGAACAAATTCAACATACAAATTTTAAGGGTATGCGAATAAAACAGCGGAGCTGACAGCACCGACTTTTGCCTCTTTTGAGGAATAACACTCGTCAATTTTCAAATTTGAGTTTATTATCGGTTTTTGTTTGCGAAATACATATTGTCAGTGTCTTTTTTATTCAGCTTTTCCGCAAAATTGTTGGCCGATTATGTTAGTGAGAAAATTGATTAGATGACCAGCCTCAGCAGACAAGAGGGAATTGGCGGGCTGAGTTGGGCTGTGAGGTGGTTATCCGGGGCTGTGTGTGGGGCTATGGCGTGCCATACAACCGCCAGCCCCCTCTAGATCCGCCACTGCAAATATTCGCGAGGAGGACGCCTGCTGATCGACTTTCGCGCGCACAGCGCATTTCCCTAAGACGATATTGTATCACTCTTAAACGCGATACATCAAAACTCCCAAACAACGTCGTACTCCAGGTGTCCCCGTATTTTAACTAAAATAGTAAAAAGGCGTCCTGTGCGACCCCCACTATTTCGAATAGTGCAATAGACACGAGTACACACTAAAAATAAGATTACTTTAATATATATAAATAATTAAAAACTGTCGATGAATATGTACAATGAGAACAAATGTCTTCAATAACTATAGTTCCATGGATTCAATGTGTAAAGCGGGAACCTTGGAAATAGATCCATCTTCCATGGCTAATTCCTGTAAATAAAAAGATGCACTCGTCAGAAACGCATTTGATCAAATAAGACTGAAGTTTGTTCATAATGAAACTTCGAAGTTTGTAGCCTGCATGCAAGTGCTGCATTTAGAAAGCTAAGCTTACGAATTAGTGACTATATTTATTATCCATATTTATTTTGAAGAAGAAACATACTCAGTAGAATATTTACAAATAAATTCATCTTTCAAAACGCCGCACAAGTATGCACGCCATAACCTTCGAAGGTTACACAACTTTTGAAACATCTATCGTAAAATATGTCTTTTACATATGTAACTGAAGTTAGACCCTTTGCAATGAACGTTGAAAAATTATATTACTCAAGTACCCATATTTATTCCCAAATGTTTCATAAAGTGTGTGAGCATACCTAAATTTATGAAATTAGCGACATACTGTATGAAAGGTAATGCATACGTAAAATTTTGTATAAAGCTAACCAATGGCATTAACCGTGTTCTTCGATGCAGTCAGCATCGGGCATTCAACGACGATAGGGATCCCATCGGGAGGCTAAATATATATTTTCCAGTAAATACAAACACAGTGATTTTCTGGAACAGTAGGTTTATTTGCCTGACCTTTCGAACTCCAACTAGAGTTCAGCATCAGAGACTACTCGAGTGCAGCAAATTTTGAACATTTATATCGTTCGTCCTTGCGGGGGGGGGAGGGGGAGTACGTCCGTGGCTAGGTAGGGTTTGTGCCGCCTGGTCCACGATGTTCCCCCGGCGTGGTGACGCCGTTTGTACTTCGCGACGGTGTGAGCTGCGCCACCTGGCTGCGTGGGCGGGGCGCGTGATAACACGCAGGCAAATCGATGTGTCTGTTGATAGAGTTGGTGTCCGACACCCACGCCTCCAACAGTTCCCGCCCTGTCTTGTTGCCGGCTCGCGCCTTTGCCTTCTTTTAAACAAGAACCTGGGATGCGCATATTCTCTTCCACAGTGATTTTATTTCGGAGCTTTTCCTCAGCCAGCAAATCGGTCTCTTGAACCGGAGAACCAGTCAATGACCGTTTTACGCACGAATTCACTGGTGCAGTGACTGAAACCGACGTGTTACAAATGAATTATACTTACCATTTAAAAGAATTTACAACGGACTCCCTTCAAAGGACTGTTTGCCCATGGACCCAACCAGCAGAAAGTGTTGCCCAGAGGCGGCCCAAGCATGTTAGATAAGAGATTACGGATAAACTCCTTCTCATTCCGTCCTTCCACCAAGCTGAGCTCTTTATCTACAAGCCGTAAAACGTACGTCAAATTCCATATTTCTATACCGTCTCTTGTTGACAACTCGAGTTTGGGTTCAGCAATCAAACGAAATCCTTGTATGCGTCTGAGGTGCAGCCCACGTGGCCTTTGACTGCCAGCAGCACTTGGCGCGCATATTTGTGCGAATTTTTCGGTCAACGCCACTCTTTTTGATGAAGATTGTATAGGACCGTGGCCTGTTCTTGTACAGTACGATCCATGCACAATATTCCAATATGACGGAAATGCATTCTGAAGTTAGGTTGTCATTCTTATTGCGTGAAAGTCGGTCTCGGGTCAGTCTGTACTCAACAGCGGGTTACGCGTCTCGTGAGAAAGCAGAGCGTCTCCTGTGTACGTTTTACTTGTGACCAAATCAGTGTCATGTATATTTGACTTCAAAATAGCCTTTGACAGTGTCCCACACAGGCATATTTTACAGATGAGCCGGGATGTAGGAATTCAAGGAAGAATGTTTAAGTGTATCAGGAGTTCTCTTGCCTCCACAGTACAAAGAGTCGGCCTTCGTAACTTTACTTCGGAGTGGGCAAAGGTGGAAAGTGGTGTTCCACAGGGTTCTGTTTTATGCCCAGTACTTCCCCTGATTTATGTTAATGACTGCATCAGCGAACCGGATTGCGAGGTCGTCATGTTCCGGACGACTTAAAAATATGGAGTGGATTCAAGTACGATGATGGCGCAAAGACGTTGCAATCGAACATCGAAAAACTGAGTGTTTGGTCGAACCGATGGCTTTTGAAGTTTAGCGTGTCCAAATGCGTGGTCTTGCACATAAGCGTCGGCCGAAATGTCTTTCCCAAACATCAGTACTATATTAACGGGACGGCGTTGGAGACAGTAAAAATACACAGATATCAGGGTGTATGGATGACCACAAATCTACTGCCATCAGCACACTGTGGAAAGATGGTTCAGAAGGCAACTAGTTCTTTCAACAGGATCAGTATCCGTTTATTATGGGAAATATAGGCGAACGCCTTTGAACTCCTTGTTGGTCACAAGCCGTCGGAGAAAAACGTGGATAAGTGGGAAGGTGAAAAAGGGATTTTGTACATACTCGTGGGCAGCTGACACGTAGTCGACAAAGAGTAATCATTAGCGATTACTTACTAATTAATAGTAGTATAAACACGCATAATTGGTGTAAGGTTATGTGAGTGGATATGAGGATGGTAACTGGGAAGCTTGATGCGCGTCAAATCTAAACTTGAAGGAATTCACACAAGAGGAGACTAAAACATTGGTAGGCGGGGCATTCCACGCCGCAACCAGTCTGTTACTGAAAAAGAATTTTCGTCCATCGATTCTTGATTTCCCTGCGCGTAGTTTTAGGGGATGACCGCGCAAAGTTGGCGTGCTAACTTGGGTGAAATAATCAGTGGGATCTAAACAACAGTCTAGGTCGTTGTTAGTATAAGTTCACCAGGTAAGTGTCTGTAGGAAAGGGGAAACAGGTTGAGAGTTGACAGTCCGGTTTCATAGGGCAGTGCTCCCAGACCTTGTCTCATTTTGGTCGTCCGTCTCCGGACCTTCTCCAAGACGGTATAATCCTTGGCAGTCCAAGGTCTCCACGTCTGTGTGGCGTATTCTAGATGAGGACGCATGAAGGTGCCAAATATTTTGGAAAAGTAGTCAGGGTCAAATCCCATAAATGATCGCCCAATGAGTTGCAATGTGGCCGTAGCCGATTTAGCCGCCTTCGCGCAGTGCAATGTTGGTTTGAGTGAATATGTAATCCATACACCCAGGTCCTTCTGACTGTCAACCTGTTGCAGTGTTGTACCGTATAGGAAGTAAGTCCTGAGGCTGGGGGCTCTGAAGCTGCCGAGTTGAAGAAAGTAGCACTTGCTTATGTTAAAGGGCATAAGCCTGTTCAGGTTTGCTTGCAGGTGGTCGGCGTCTGCCGCATTGGGAATAACTTTCCACAATTTTATGCCGTCGACAAACAAGATGTCATCACAGTTTAGGTCCCTGACGCAGTCATTAATGAAAACGAGGAATAACGTGGGACCTAAGACTGAGTCCTGTGGGACGCCACTCACCTCGCTTCCATCTGTGGACTGCTGACGGTCGACCTACACTCTTTAGGACCATCCAGCCGAAAAGCTCTGGATCCATACAAGAAGGCGTCCACGAATTCCGGCGTTGCTCAAATTGTACAAGAGACGTTGGTGAGGAACGCTGTCGAAAGCCTTTTTGAAGTCGATATAGATGGTATGCAATACATTGCTTCATCGCATGCTTTGGTCCAGCGTTCTAGCTTAAAGAGTAGATTCGTGAGGCAGGACTTATCACTTCGAAAGCCGTGTTGGGCATCGGAGATGGGGTTATGCTGCTCGAGGAACTGAACCAAGGCCTTCTTAATGATCTTCTCCAGGATTTTGCAATAGATGGAGGTAAGACTCACTGGCCTGTAGACGCACGACTTCCACCCTTAAAAAGCGGAGTGATGGTAGCGGACTTCCAGTCAGAGGGCAGGCAGCCAGTAACAAATGACGTTTGGAAGATCAAGGCTAGCTCCTTCAGCAGCTTGGCCGGAATTGCATCAGGGGCTGGGGAGGTCGATACTTTTAGGTTTAGTAACTCATTCCGAACAATTGTTTCGGTAAAGAAGACGGCTTCGAGGGTATGCGTTTCATCGTCTTCATTAACGGGTGAGAAAAAATCAGGTCCACTTGTCACGACTGACCGGAAGAACTGGGAGAGATGTTCCGCCTTATCCTTTTCATCGGAGATTTCCGCACCCTCAGTCGTCGCAGCAGGGGACGGAGTCTTTATTCCGTGAGCTCTGTCTTATGTAGCTGTAAAGGATTTTGGGATTAACCATGGCACGATTCAGAAGATTCTTTTCAAAGGCTTTCCGGTCTCTGGCGGTGATAATTTTGACCCGATTTCTTTGTAACTTATAACTTCTTAGGGATTCTGGCGTACGGTCCGTCAGAGATCTTTTCCATAGCTTCCTCTTTTTGTTAACTT